TCTCCTCTACTACTGTTACCATACTGATTTGTCTTTTCCTCATGCTGTAATTGGTCTGGTGCCACTGTGTAATTTTTAACTGTGTGCAGTATCAACAGACCTCCATCTGTCTCTCCTCCAGAGCTTTCCAGCCTGCCGTTATAAATATCTGCCAAATCCTTCTCCAAAGAGAGGATCACCAGATTCCAACTGTTTGCAAAATAAGAGCTGCTGCCAGAAATCCTCTCCCACTGTCTGCAACCTGTGCAGAACTTGTCCCCTGCACGTTGTGAGATGTTACTGCTGGCACTGAGGAGCTCTGACCATTGCTTTAATTTATTGTCCCTCAGAAGCATACACTTCTGCAGAGGGTTCAGCGTATTGGTCTGTTTGCTCAAATATCTCATTATGTGTGTCATTTTATTAGAAAATAACCTTCAATAGCCATCAGGTAATAAAACCAAAATAACATGGGGGTTGGGGGTTTTTTCCTCTTTAAAATGCAATTCTGGTTTAAAACATGCTGTGGGATGGATCGGTTCCAGTGTTGTTTTAGAAGATACTTTACTTGACCTGGAAGGCACTCAGAGTGCATTCCCCTTTCCCAGCCTGTCACTTAAAGACTGAGGGCCAGTTACCACTATCTAAAGCCGGAGTAACTGGTGAGACTTGCTGAATGTATGCCCGTGTTGCTGAGAGCAGAGTTTGATCTTCCACATCTCTATACATATACATCAGAATAGGCCATTAGAAGAATTAGCACCAAACCAGGGAATGCATTGATTAGATTGTGCACACTAAAAAATAGCAAGTTTTCTAATGTGCATAAAATAAAATCACATATAAATATGTTTGGATAAAGTAAAAAATATAGATTGCGGTGCAGGTGCCCTTTTAACACTGTTAAAGCCATTCTCATAACAGTCCATTGATTCCATTGATTTGAAGCCGTTTGAGGGTCATGTGGCTTTTTAAATTCGGTTGTGTACCTTAGGCTATGATCATCACACGTGTTAGCATTTGCTGGTGGTATGGCAGCTTACTGTGGCTGAGGAATTACCAACGAATCTCTTGAGGTGCTGCTGCAGACATCAAATTAACGATAAATGTATGTTTGAATAAAACTCTTGCCAGCTAAAGTCAGATCGAAGGAGCGAGGTTCCAGTTCTCTCTATGGGATATTGGAGTAAGTCAGCAGAAAGGATTTTTCAAGGTTATTTCAGGAGAGGGTTTCACATTGGATCTGCTACATCTTAGTTCTGCAGAGCTTTGCAAAGGAACATAAGGCATGTAAAGCAGATTGAGGATTTGATAAATACTCCTTCCAGTCTACGTTCAGAATAACCTAGTATTTCCAAGAGACAGAAAAGTGGATGCCGTAACTGTTTGATGTGGGCATGGGCCATGGGCACTGTGGCTGGAGGGTGTTTTTCTGTAGATAAGTAGAGGGAAGCACCTGAAGCACCAAAGAAACTTGGGCGTTTGTTTCATGATGTATAGTCAGGTTTAAAAAATACTGGTATTTCCATTGTCTAGACTGCACTATGGATTTGATGTCCATTTTTGAAGGTTTTAGGACAATCAAGTTCATCATTTTCTAGGAGGGTGCGCTACCACTTAATAATACATTATGACAGGAGAGAAATATGCACAAACAAGTCTAAGCCTGCAGGACAGCTATACTTACTCCCAAATGAATAATATCCCCAGCCATTGCTGGGGGTGGCAGGGAGCAAATAGAAATGCAAAATTAGAGAGACCGGACTATCCCGGCGGTTATGTACTGACTGCCTGGCGTGTCAAGCAGCTGTGGGTCTAGCTGTGCTTGCAAGATTGAGATCTACCCTTTATTTAAGTCTGATTTTCTGGAGCAAGATTTTCTTTTAAAGGAACAGCCATGATTTGTGAAAAGTCTTTGGGAGATAAAAAGCAGATGGCATTGATTAGCTAATTAGTAATATTTTCTGCAACTTATCAGCTGTGCTGATATGTGTAAAGTTTGCAAAAGCTTGGGATGAATCTTTCTCTCTTTGATTTGTTGAAGAAATTGAATATTTTAAAATCTGGGGGGGAAGGAAAGTTATATACAAATGTGTAATTTTCTGCCCAACAGAAATATGTTAATCTTTTCCTTTTAATTTATATTCAGAGCTCATGTCTTCATTTTTGAGGGGAATATGCACAACGAGGTTGCAGCTCTCCTAGCTCTTGACCTGAGTACATGGTGTATTGTGTGACGTGCCGCAAGTTTCTGGCTCTCCCATATTCCTCTTTGTGGGCATGCTCCTTCTCCTTTTGCATTTATTATGGAGACAAAGCAATATATTATTTTTTATTTTATGCCAGGCTCACTTTTGTCTCCTTGTGAGCCCTTGGCAGCCACAGCAGCACCCTAGCAGGACTTCTGCCAAGTGTTGGCCACCTCCATGACCACTACTATTACAGTGGTCACTGCTGTTTTGGCCAGAGCATCACTGGGGTGTTGGAGGGCCCTCCAACCTTGAGTTATACTGGACACAAGTCAAAAATCTTGATGTTGTCTCTATGATGGCAATTGTTCATCATTTAGGGCGAGATAGAGTACCTCGCCAAGATGTTAATGTAAAGCAGAATGTCTGAGAAAGGATATCAGCCTTTCAGACCCTGCTGGTTGCATAGCAAAATCTTCATATAGCCAAAAAACGTGATACTCATCTGGTTTCTTCAGCAAGGTGGATACGGGAGGGCTCGCAGGCATGTACCAGTCCCAATAGTCATGGTGGTCTTTGTGGGAATGAATCACAGAATCATAGAATCATTAAGGTTGGAAAAGACCTCTAAGATCATCGAGTCTAACCGTCAACCCAACACCACCATGCCCACTAAACCATGACCCTAAGCGCCGCATCTACACATCTTTTAAATACTTCCAGGGATGGTGACTCAACCACTTCCCTG